TAATCCACATGACCATTTGCATAGATACACATTTTTTAAAGGATTCTAATTTATAGTAAGGAATGGCTGATCAGTTCTTTCCATCCGTGCCACCAATGATCTTTTCCTTCTATCAAAACCTTTTCCTTCTATATGTAAATCTCAGATTTACCTTTACTTTTCAATGTCATGCTTTAGTTCCTGTCATCAGCATCTGTAGATTCTTTGTAACCTTGATTTCAAGCATACCACACTTAGACCACAACCTCCTAGCTTTCCAACTCAATTACTCTAGAAACTCCCTGCAGTAATTTCACAATTTCGACTTTCAAATAATTAATCTTATTATTTTTTCCACTATTTATCAAGTACCTCTTGGCATCACTTCCGTTTTTATCCAGCTTAGATTTGTGTTCCATCCTCACCACTGTCTTGTAAATACTCACAACCCCCCTACACTTGTCTCCCCTACACATATACTCCCCTGGCTAAATCTTAACCTTGGTCGACCTAAACCTTCTCCACTCTCTGATCTTGAAGCAAAATAGCTGATCATTGCTAAGAAAAACAATAATCTCTGGGTTTCAAAGTAAGGACAACAAACAAATGGACATAAAGGCTGGTCCAAAATCCTCTGATCTCAACTCTTTCCCACCCTTGATCCTTTGAAACCTGGCTGTTTGAGACTAATTTCCCACAGTCTACATTTTGCTGACTACATTCCTATAGTATTATTTGTTTTTCTGCCCTCTATATTGCTACATATTGGTACTGAATTTAGGGGGCTGTTACCTTTCGAGTCACCGATTTTAGCACTATTTTTCATTAACTTAAGTTAATGGCTTATTAACTTAATAAGAATGGTGGTATGGCTTATTTACATCTCTTTCTCTCCCTATATCCTTCCAAAATATTTGTATCTCAAATTATTAAATTCCCTGTTTTCATTATTAGGAATGATATAACTCACTGCTGAGACACTACTTTTTATATTTCCTTGGCTGTGCATTTTTTTTCTGGCGTTATTATTACCTTGTCATTTAGAGTTTTCCCTACATCTGAGGCTTTTCCACACTTTGAAAGACATCAAAGTCCCTCTTAATATAAATTTCCATAAAGTCAAACTCATTGGATGATTTTCTAGGTCTAGTAGAGCGCCTAAAGAAGGCCTCTTTGACAAAGTGATATATAAACAGAGACCTGAGCGAAGAGAGGGAGAAAGTCATGTGACTAGCTGGTTAAAGGTTTCCCGGCAGAGGAAGCAGTAATTCTAAATGCCCTAGAGTGGGAATATGCTTGCTGCTTCTGAGGAACACAAAGGAGATCCACGTGATGAAACACAATGCACAGGGAGGGGTATACTGCAGGAGACAGTGTCAGAGTACCATAAGCCAGGTAAGGTTTGGCCTTGTGTCACAGTGAGGAGCAACCAGAAGAAGATGGTGTGTGAAAAAAAGGAGCAAGTTTGACGGGAGGAAATTAAGAATTCAATTTGGGATAAGTTTGATATCTAGGTAGAAATTGTTCAGTAGGGAGCTAGAAAAATGAGTATGAGGCTTCAGGACTCATCAAAAGAGGTCAGGACTCCATAAAAATGGAGTTTTTGTGTTTTCTTTTTTTTGAGACGAAGTCTCGCTCTGTCGCCAGGCGGGAGTACAGTGGCGCAATCTCAGCTCACTGCAACCTCTGCCTCCCAGGTTTAACCGATTCTCCTGCCTCAGCCCCCCAAGTAGCTGGGACTACAGGTGCACACCACCACACCCAGCTAATTTTGTGTATTTTTAGTAGAGACAGGGTTTTACCATGTTGGCTAGATGGTCTCCATCTCCTGACCTCGTGATCTGCTCACCTCAGCCTCCCAAAGTGCTGGGATTATAGGCGTGAGCCACTGCACTCGGCCTGGGAATCTATTTCTTATGTTCCTTGTCATTTGGAGAGCAGGGGGTGACAATATTTATTCTTAAGCCTATATTAATTTGGCTTTCACCCTCACCATTCTACTTTAACTGTTCATATCAAGAGTCAATAAATAATTCCAAGTTGTCAAATACAACAGACCTTCTTTTCTTGAATTCTACAAAGCATTCCATAGTAAATCGCTCCCTCTCAAATTTATATCTACAATCCCAGCTTCCTCCCTGAACTTCAGACACTCATGTCCAATTTGTATACTTGATTCCTCTACTTGAATGTATAACTGTGTCAGAAGTTAGCCTGTAAAAACATAACTCACTATTTTACTACCTTAAATCTCTTCCTCTCCTCCTCCTCCTTATTCTCATTTCAGTAAACAGTCTCATCATCCACACTGTTGCTCAAACTTAAAATTTAAGAAATCCTTAATTCTTTTCTTCCTATTTCTCAAAACCATCCCTTAGCAATTACAAAATCTATCTCAAATCTGTCTACTTCCTTCCAACTCCGGTGCCTCCACCATAAAGCCATCGTTCTCTCTTGCATGAATTATTGTAATATACTCCTAACTGGTCTCCTTGCTTTCATCTACAAGCATCTCCCTAAAGAACAAACAGAGAGATATGTTTACATGCAATCTCCTACTTAGAGTCCATCAATAACATCCATTGCATTTAGAATAAAATCTGACCTCCTTATCCCTACGTGATCTAACCCTAGTCTGCATCTGCAGCCTAACCTTGTCCTGTTTCCCCCTCACTCTTTATGGCCAAGTCACACCAACCCCCTTTCTGTTTCTTGAACACTCTGAAATCTTCAAGGCTCCCACGCCTATATCTCTAATGCTCCTCTGCCTGGAATGTTCTTCCTACATCTCTTTCCATAGATGGCTCCTTCTCATCCTTCAAGTCTCAGTCTGAACGTCATGTCCCTGGAGAGGCCTTTCCTCACTAGTCTACCTAAAGCACCCTCTTCCTTCACTCTCTATCATAACTTCTATTTATTTTCTTCATGATGCCCACTAACAGTCTGATATTACCATATTCATTCATTTAGTTTGTTTGTTTCCCCATCATCGAAATGTAAGCTTTATGAGGGTGTGTCCTAGCTTGTATTTCTAGCACAAATACTAATAGGTACTCATTTATTTGTTGAATAAATTAACCAGACCTTTACATAAAGATGTACATACAATAACGTTTATTGGACCCTTTTTAATTTTGTCGGCTGGGGATAAATGAATAGAATAATATTTTCTATCCAATCATTTTCCCTAGCCAGTTTCAATGTTCCAAAGTTTAATTCACAGAGCAGGGAAGTTCCCCTGAACTGAACTCAACACTTTGGAATTTTGTAGCATTTGCAGTCAAATGCTCTACCACTGAGCTATACCCCCGAAATTTTGTAGCATTTTTATGCTAGCAAAAAAGTAGATAAACTGAAATGTTTACCAATAGCTTTTTATTACAGAGTATTCCAAATAAGAGCTATGCAGTAAATAGAAAGATGGCCTATGTGTCAGAAACCTCGTTAGCCCCTCTTGAGTCATACTCCTTCCTTTTTTCCTTGCTCTTCCTCTCCCAGTGTCCAGTTTGCATAGAATGAGCAGAACTTGACCAAGTGAACAAACACAGAGGAGGCGTTCTAGCCAACATGCACATACACCTAGGGGTAAAAGTGTATAGTGTGCTGGAGAAACAATCAGTGTTTCCTCCTCTGCTCCACTACAGCTGGTCCCTTTGCTACAATTATTATGATGTAGTATCATAGCCATTCACATGTGTTTCTTCTCATTAGACTCCTAGACTCACAATTTCCAGACAGCAGAGAAGGATGTCTTTTCATCTCTATACCCTCAATACCTAACACAGTAAGCTCTCTTATAGGGTTGCAAGAAGAAATCTACTTTTATCTATATTCTACTGGTTTAAAGGTTACTTTTTTTTTTTTAAGCAATAGGGTCTTGCTAGGCTGCTCAGGCTGGTCTTGAACTCCTAAGCTCAAAAGATCCTCCTACCTCAGCCTTCTGAGTAGCTGAAATTACAGGTGTAAGCCACCACACCTGACCAAGGTTACATTTTTAAAAGACTAATTTATATGGTCATTATATCGACCAAATTTGTCTGTAGAAAAATTAGTCAAATAGTGAGTGATTTAAAACAATACAACACTGTGGCTGAGGGCATAATTAAATCTTTATTGAAACTGCTACCATCTCTTTTTGTTTTTTGTTTTCTTGACACAGTCTTGCTCTATCACTCAGGCTGGAGTGCAGTGGCGCAATCTTGGCTCACTGCAACCTCAGCCTCTTAGGTTCAGGCAATTCTCCTGCCTCATTCTCCCAAGAAACTGGGAATACAGGTGTGCACCAGACCAGGCTAATTTTTGTATTTTTAGTAGAGATAGGGTTTCACCATGTGGGTCGGGCTAATCTTGAACTCCTGGCCTCATGTGATTCACCCGCCTCAGCCTCCCAAAGTGCTGGGATTATAGGTATTAGCCACCATCCCCAGCTTTAAAGATACATGCCTATGATGCTCTGAATCTGAACCTCCAGATGTCTCACCAGAAACAATGCATTTTTTCACATAAGAATAAATGTTGGCTGGGTATGGTGGCTCACACCTGTAATCCTAGCACTTTGGGAGGCTGAGGTGGGCAGATCACTTGAGGTCAGGAGTTCAAGACTAGCCCAGCCAACATGATGAAATTCTGTCTCTATTAAAAATATAAAAATTAGTCAGACATGGTGATGGACGCTTGTAATCTCAGCTACTCGGAAGGCTGAGGTGGCGGAGGCTGCAGTGAGCCGAGATCGCGCCACTGCACTTTAGCTTCAGCGATAGACCGAGACTCCGTCTCAAACAAAATAATAATAATAAAGAATAAATGTCCATTTCTAACGAATGAGATACTTCAGCAAAAAAGTATAAGAAGTAAATTCCAAGAGAATTTTAATTAGTAATACTTACCAACACTAGCATGATCAATAATAGTGTCAATATCTTGTAGACCCCATTTCTTATAAGCTAATGGTGGTGGTTGTATGTTCTCATTGCCTGATGCTGCAGCTACCAAAGACAAAATAGATAATCCAAACTTAATTATTATGGATAAAATTAAGTTTTACAAAAAATCATTAAAACCATACTAATTTATTTTTCTGATAATGAGGCAAAGTAATGAAAACAAGGCATAAAGTGAGACTTATTTATACCAAGACAATAATCATAAAATGCAAACATTTAAAAGACTAAGTTGGCTGTCACAAAAGATTCTCAATACAAACCACCGTGCTTCCAAACAAAACAAGGAAAAAGAGAAAAAAAAGAAAAAAAGAGTCTCAAACACTCAAGTAATTAAAGAAGACTATTAAAAATCCTATACTACTACTAAAAATCGAAGTGAATTCAGGCTGAGCACGGTGGCTTATGCTTGTAATTCCAGCACTTTGGGAAGCCGAGGCAGACAGATCGCTTTAGATCAGGAGCTTGCGATCAGTCTGGCCAACATGGTGAAACCCCGTCTCTAGTAAAAATGCAAGAATCAGCCAGGTATGATGGTGCACGCCTGTAGTCCAAAATACTCAGGAGGCTGAGGTGGGAAAATCACTTGAACCCAGGAGGTGGAGATTGCAGTGAGCTGAGATCACACCACTGCACTCTAGCCTGGATGACAGAGGCAGAACAAAAACAAAACAAAACAAAAGTGCATTCAAACTGCAAGTGACGTCAAGTAAGAAATTTCTCCCTCTTGACAAAGTGGATAAAATCCTAGTGATAGGAATCAGTGCTTTACTGAGTGAAAAACTAAAAACCTGATATACCTGGCAGAGTACACATACAGCAAGGTCTCTAATCTGGGTGACTGAGACCAGACTTGATAGAAAGATATGTTAAAAGCAACAGCACTGTCAAATAAAAAAACAAGAATGAAATGCCAGTCTTTAACCTCAGTCCCTTCACCTACTGAGTAAGAAAAGGAAAAGTAACAGTTACACCTCTTGCCATAGATTCATGCATATCCCATTAATTGGTAAGTTCCCATGATGCATATTAGAATACTGCTGAATTCTGGCTGCTTATTCAGGAAAGTGAAAAAATAATAATAAAGAAAAAATATAATCCTCTAAACATTGCAGATTGATAGTAAGGCCAATAATGATAACTTTCTTATATGCTGAAATAAATGTCACAATTTATGGCTAAGTAACCAGAACTCTTTTTACAGCAACTTACAGCAAAGGGGCACTAAGTGGCTTAATTCCTTACTTCCTAGGAGACAAATGGCTTTATGGTCTTATATAAAACAAACAGAAATTCAAAAATGGGGAAAAATCAAATGGGTGTTAATGCCAATTATAAAGTAATTGTCTATCTCTATTAATGAACTTCTTATCCACAGAAAGTTGCCTTTTGATATATATTCATTCTAAGTATTTTATATGTTCTCAAGATAATGAAGCTTATGGTGGGTTAAATTTAAAAAATTTAAAAGATCATGAAAATAAGCATAAAAATTTAAATAAACTTTTTAAAAAAGAACCACACAGCCAAGACTTCAGAATTTTACCAATCATATCAACCTGCTAAAAAAGACAGAGAAAAAAATTTTTTGCAATATAAGATGCTGCATTTATACTAGATTTAGAAATAATTTCGGATCCCAATTTTAGAGTTGTTAAAATACAGAAAAGTCTTAAAATCAGCAAAAATATGAGTAGTGGCACTGACTTCCCCTTTCCTTCTGGGATTGAGTAGAGCAGCCTTGGTGGCCCCAAAACAAAATTTAACTCCTAAATGGTTGAGACGGTTTCCTGAAAACACAGACTGATTAGGATATGTTTACTGTTTCATAAAATCATTTCTAAATTTAGTCTAAATGCAGCATCTTATATTGCAATCAAAACTTTCTCTCCTTTTTAGCAGGTTGACATGACTGGCAAAATTCTGAAGTCTTGGCTATGCGGTTCTTTTCTAGTATATGCTTTTTTACTAGGTCAGAATTTGTTTAAAATTTTATACCTATTTTAATACTCTTAAATTATTTAAATTTAATCCACCATAAACTTCATCATCTTGAGAACATTTAAAATACCCTTAATCTATATATCAAAAGGCAATTTTCTGTAGGTAAGAAGTTCATTAATTTGATAAACTAGTAATAGACCATTATTTTATAATTGGTATTATCAGCCATTTCATTTTCCACCAAAGTTAAACTTTGTTTTGGAGCCATTAAGGCCCCTCTACTCAATGCCAGAAAAAAAAGGGAAGTTAGTGTTACCACTCATATTTTCACTAGTTTTAAGACTCTTCTTTTCCATGTGTTCACAACTCTGAAATCGTGATCTGAAAATTGATGGTGTGTCTTTTACTGGCAATAGTTGTTCTTCTTAGTGGTACATAAAATAATAGCGTATCTTACAATCAATGGCATGTTGAGTTTGATGAAATATCTCTTCCAAAGTTGTAACAGCATTAGAATGTAAATTATAGGTAGTAAAAGCAGGAAGTCTTGATCATTTGTTCAGTTTTCATCCGTAAGTCTGAAAATAATATTGTTGCCCACATACACATGAAGTTTAGGCCTCTAGCTTTTCTCCATTCCGAGTGTTCCAAGTTAGCAAAAGGAAGCTCATGGTGACTCCCTGCTAGGTCCTGCCTACAGTGCTATCTGTAGGATCTTGCATTTCCCTTGGACATAGCAATATGTTTAACCTCAGTGAGGACGGGAGCAATGTGCAGTCACAAGGTTTTAGGATGTTGGCCTTGATTAGCTGCTGATCTAGTGAAAATGTGGTACCTCAGCCAAACGTAACTAAATTCTTTACCCCAATGTTGGCTGTCAATACAGTTGCAAATCTAAGTGGCCAAGCCATATTGCTGAATTGGTGAAGAAAGCCCGGAGTTCCTGTGCTGACCACGCTCTCCAAAGGCAACATGTGAAGAGTGTTTATGTTTCAGCCCTTGTCTCTACTTTACTAAGCAATCTACTCAAGTGCTCCCTTATCTCTACAGGAGGCAGGTTTTCCCATAAATCTAGTTCAGAGGGTCTTTCTGTATTTAGAAGACATAATTAATTCCATAAGCAGGTAAAATTAAATAAAACAAACATCAACATAGGTTAAATATTTCTTGCCCAAATATTACCTTTTGCTACCTGATTTCGACAAGCACGAAGAGATTGAAAAAGACTAAATCCATCAATAGTCACAATGGCAGCGGGATATAAGATACTCAACTCTTCGTTCTATTTAAGAAACAAGAAAGAAAAATATAAATGTTCTTAACTAGATACATCAAATAAGCTTATCTATTTTTGAATATACCTGAATTTCATGAATAATGTAAAATAAAAAATACTGGGACTAAACCATCAACCACCCAACACCCAAATCAATATCAGTCAGAACAACAGTAAAAATAGATTAAAAAATTAATTTCCGAGTGCCTTTCTGCCAAAGACCTAAAATTCTTTTCAAATACAACCTTTTTGTGTATGGTGAATAACGGTCTCAAAGATGCTGAGAGTAACATAAAGAATTACAATTTCATAAAAAGGAAATATACTTATTGCACAGATACAAATATGTAAAAACAGAAGAAAGAAAACTCACCTGAAATCCCAGACACGTCTCAACACATCCTCAAATACATTCATACACATTTGCATAAGGCTATACCACATACAGTATCCTAACATGATTTTTACTACTCAATAATATGTCAGTGACATTTTTCCATTTCAGTAAGTGAACAAATAATCTTCTGCTGGGGCTGCACAGCCTTTCATTATAGGTACCCCGTTTGACTTAACCAGTTCATACTGATGGACATTCAGCTTGGCCTCCTGCTTTCACCCTTGCTCTCTGGAATCCATGTTCCACACAGCCAGTGTGCTCTTCAGGAGACACAGCAGATCAAATCAATCTCCTGATTAAAACTCTCCAATGACTCCCTTCTGCATTTAGAATAAAAGCTGAACTCGTTAACCATGGCTGCAAGATCTGGCAACAAGAGAGGTCATCATTACCCTCAGACCTTTGCATGTGTTTGGACCTTCTCCTCCCAGATTTTCACCTGCCTAATTGTTCTAGTCATTCAGATTTCAGTTCAAATGTCAGTATCCAGAGAGGCTGCTCCTAAACCTCCATCTCAAACAACATACCTATTCTCTTGGCACATTACTTTCTCATTAACATGACTTCCTTTACGGTACCTATCAGAGACTGGAATCACCTTGATATCTCTAGTTGCTTACTGTTGGTTTCCCTCCACCATCCCCAAACTGTAAGCTCCATAAAAGCAGGAACCGTGTATGTCTGCTACACCAATGAATCCTCAAGGATTAGAACTGAACTGGGCACATAATAGGCAGTAAAGAAATATTTATGAATTAATATATTTTCATCATTATAAACATCACTGCAATAAACATTCTTCTGTCCATATCTTTCCATGTTAGTAGGATATTACTTAAGTGTAAATTCCTTCAACTGGGTCTGTTGGGTCATAAAGTATTCACAATTTTCATTCTCTTATATATTAAGTTGCCTCAGAAAGTACCTATCAACTTATATTTCCACCAACAATAGAGGCAGGTGCCTGTTTTTCTATCTTGTCACCAAAAGTTTGTTAATCTTTATCTTTGCCAATCTGAAAAGTGAAAAGTTATATCACTGTATTTTCTTTTCTTTTCTTTTTTTTTTTTTGAGACGGAGTTTCGCTCTTGTTACCCAGGCTGGAGTGCAATGGTGCGATCTCGGCTCACCGCAACCTCCACCTCCTGGGTTCAGGCAATTCTCCTGCCTCAGCCTCCTGAGTAGCTGGGATTACAGGCATGCGCCACCATGCCCAGCTAATTTTTTTGTATTTTTAGTAGAGACGAGGTTTCACCATGTTGACCAGGATGGTCTCGATCTCTTGACCTCGTGATCCACCCGCCTTGGCCTCCCAAAGTGCTGGAATTACAGGCTTCTCATTCTATTTTCTTATAGTTCTTAGATTATTATTAAGGTTCAAATTTTTCTTATATGCTTTTGGGCCAATTTCTTTTGAGATCTGCCTTTCTCCTTTTTCTACTAGACTGTCAGGCTGTTGCTCTTTTTAAAAAAGAATTCTGGGGCATAACGGGCATAAGCTAGTGAAGAAGGGACATGGCATGTGTTCTCACATGACAGGTTCACAAGGCTAAGCATGCATGACTCAGTGAGCATGGCAGCAGGGAGAGAGCCTCCTCACTGACTTTGGCGAGTCAGAAAACAGAAAAGACCTAACCACCAGCACGACAATTATCTCCAAAAACAGGTAGTCTTCCTGAAGAAAACACTAATACAAACACCAGTGGCCCCAAATCTGTAGATACTGTGCTAGATGACAGAGTTTTTTTTACAGAAGCTATTATATAAAAGAAGTTCTTTGAAATTCCAGAAGGAGATTTTTCCTCTTTCGAATCCTCTCCTGCAATAACCTACTGTCACCCCTACTACATTCACTGCTCCCAGAACTGAATTAGAGGAAATACGCTTCTGTGATCTCTGACAAATCTGGAAGCATATTAAAAAGAAGAAAATAGTTTTGATATATAAATTGATGTGTTAGATCCAGAGATGTTTAATGTAGAATACAGAGTAACAACAAAGACTTCCTTCTTGATAAAAATTTTGAGATTATTTTCTTGGCTTGTATAGCAAATAGCAAGCAAATATTTAAATGTCAGTTATATTTTCCCACCCATGTCTAAAAGAGTCTTACAGATATGACAAAATTTAATGTATTTTAAAAAGCTTCATCATCCAGTGAATTTTTAGAAATTTGAGAAACATCTCTGGAAAGTTATCTCCAGTTCACAGATTATCTTCTTTGATTTCCAGCTGTTCCTTGTTTCCTGTACTAGTTCAATTTCTCCTACCTCCTTAGGATGAGTATTATTAGTTACTAACACTTAATTAAGTCTCAGCCTGCAGTTTTATTTTCCTACATGCTTTACTTGAAAGAATTCATTATCTAGGACTTCAACCATCATGTCCAGTCTAGTCTCTGTGCCTATAAGCAGTTTTCTATCATTACATGACACCAATAACTTGGTTTTATTTCCTACCATTGCCTCAAACTCAACACGTACAAAACCACATTTAGTAACATTTACTGCCTATGTTGTCCCCTATTCCAACTTTGACAATGGCACTCCTCAGGATAAGTATCTTAGAGACATTTTTAGCTCATTTAAAAAGGTGTACATCTCTACACAATAACCGAGTCTTATTAACTGTTTCCTCAAAACAATTTTTGTACTGGTCCCTTCTCTCTTCCCGTAGCCGTTTTAGTCCTGGCTCCCACCACTCCATATTTGTTATAAATAACTTAAAAAACCAGATAACCAGCCTCCCGAATTCCAGTTTATCCTGAAGAAATCTTCAATATTCCTTTGATTACATCACTTTCTTCTCATAAATCTTTAGGAGTCTCTTTCATTTCCTGAATCAATTCTAATTTTCCACTTGGCTTTTGAATTTATGCAAAATTCGGCCACTCCGCCTATTTGACAGTTTCTCACTGTTTTATAACACAGGTTTCTTTGTAGTTGCATATATAGTTCTACATTTGAATCTTCTCTCAAGTTTTCTCCTGATCACCTGAAACACTTTCCCCTTTGTTCCATTACCTAATTAAATTCTATAATTATTCAATGCTTAGAGCAAATCTCACCTCATCAATGAAATTTTCTTATTTTCCCAGTCCAAACTGAACTCCCCTTTCTCTAAGCTTGTACAGAATGTATTCCGTTCAAATACATTATCAATAAATTAGGTATTGTTTTATATTAGTGATTAATTCATACATAGATATTATTAGATTTTAATCCTAGTCTCTCTTACTAGGTAGATAGGTTTCTTTGACCGCTCCAGTCCATCTCCCATGCAAATTAAATTAACATATACATACAGTATATACATCTGTTTACTTGAAATCTTTTGGAGGCCAAGTAGTACAAAAAAGGGAAGGCATATTACACAGTTTTATTATGAACTCTGCAAAACAAATAAAACCATATTGGTTTAAATGCTCTACAATCATTTTTTGACTGAGACAGCCAAAATCTTATAAGGCAACTAAGAAGTTGGAGCCTTAAATACTAAAGAGTATTGTTTTCTCACTGAAATCTTCAATGAATATAATGTATTTTCCACTATGAACAAAAGCTTAGTAACCCCCTTTCTGGGAAATAACTTTAAGTACAAGGTAGTAGCACTAGTAACAAGAAGGCAATTTTTTTTTTCTTTTACTCTGGGTAATTTTAGCACCTAAATCCAAATAAAAAAAGATATAAGGTTATATAATACCATACTTTTGTCTTAAGTCACTATCAAACTCTAAAATAAGTAATTTTCTTGACTTCTAACTAAAGTGTTTTACTTTGTTGTAGAAAGAAACATACAATATTTCATTAAATAAATAAAAGCAAGACTGGTATTCCTTTTCAGCTACAAATAGATTTCTAGAATATGACAGCAGAGCTAACTGTGCCACAAGACAAAGATATCTGTTAAGTCTCTACCCCCAAAAGAGGAGAGAAACTGCTTCCAAGTAATGTCACTGCTACTGCCGGAACACAAGCTTTTACACTACCTGCTCAGTCACGCCGGGATGTCGTGGTATTTCATAGGTTCTGCATTTAAGTTGAAGCACTGGGTCCTCATTCAAAAGCTGTGCAAGCAAGAGCACACCATTCTAGGAGGAAGCACAGAGAAGGGCCCTGCTTGTTTTCTTACCGATATATCGGAGCAGGTATCACCAGGCAGAGTGTACCATTTCCCCAACAGTTTTCCAGAGGTACCAGGTACACTCTTTTCAGAATACAGCTCCTCTTCTCTGTATCTTCTACCAGAACTTGCCATGGTCTGTCCTGGCCTCTATCCCCCTAAAGCATCAACTACATTTTCAGGCAGCAGGTAATAAAGTCACAAATAAAGGGGATGCATAACCAGGTATTGCAGTCAAATAGCTTTTTTTCTAGCTGCTGAAAACTCAACTCACCTCAGTGTAGAAGCGTACATAACCTGAAGTAAAACCCACCACAATGCAGGTCCAGTCAGGACGCCCAGTGGAACTCCTGTTACAAACAACATTTATTGTCTTAACAACTCATACATCAAAGCAAAGACAACAGGTAACTCTTATTCATCCTTACCTCTTTTGGCTTGCTAGTGGAATACATAGAGCACTGGTTACACATTCCCTAAAAACAAAAACAAAATCATATGCTTTTCCATTGAACTTAACAATTACTTTTATTTCTCCATAATTGGATGTTTAAAGGATAATAAGTGGAACATGACTTCTGTGAACCAGTTTTATCTGATGCATAAGTAAAAATACAGTCAAACCTCACCGCAGATAAGGTCCTTAAAATTCCTTCTCATAAAATGTAATGCTGCACACATTTGAGGTTAATAAGAAACAGAATTTTTCACTCTGTATTGTCATGAAAAACATGGAAGTACAGAAAGCAAAACTTTACTTACACAACTGACTATATACAGAACTGAGCAAACCTCAAATGATCCCCAAGCAGCCATTTCCTACTATCTCCCCTCCTCTCCTCTGCTTCAGCTAAGAACTTCGGCCTGCGGCCTTGTTTGAGATCAGGAGCTGGGCAAATGGCTGAGGAACTGCCAGTTACATGAAATGCAAATTGTATTTCTGCAGGGTACATTATTTTAGAAACTTATGTATTCAACTTGCTGATTTTTCTTTTCTATTTTGCAGAAGTTGCTCTGATAATCTATTTCTAAGTACATGTTAGGTGTGATGTTCCATTAAAAAGATATTTTTTTTCCCTGACATGTAGATTTGAAATATTTGTCAGGAGCTCAGAAACTAAGGCTCAAAATCAAAACAACTCCTACCCACTGACTTTTGTTAAATCTGTCGAACCTGAGGATGATCACTGGCATATCCAAGAAACTATAAACACTTCTATGCCATACATCATACTAGGTAATGAAAGAACAAAATTCATCTTCACGTTTGTTCACTGATTTTAAAGTATTACAATTTGCTTTGCATTTCTGACAGAAATCAAATGACTTTAAAACACTTAGTCTAAATGGTCTAAGGGGAAATATTACCATTTATTTTGATAATGGTAGAGAATATTTCAAATATCTACAATGTGCCAGGGATGTTTTAGGCACTTCTACTTGGTTGTCTTTTATCTCATTTCAAAGTCTGAAGGCTTTCCTTATTCAGTCTGATCAGACAGTTTTCAGTCATTAAAATTTAATTGAAAACCAGTTTTGGGCTCAAGGTTCTAGGCTAGCAGCTCCATCATGTAACCACACTGGATATCTTGGTTATAAAAGTTTTACTGGGTCAGCAGGAAACTAATGTACCAACTTGCATTTCTGAAGTATTTATAAGTTTTAAGAATTAATGTAGTACTGTACCCTTCAAGTGTAAGCCCGATGTCAGCAAGGCAGAGAAGACAATGATTGTCCTTGACTTTTTGGATAAATAAAATTAGTAATGCAGAACAGAGGGAAAAGACAAAATGTAAAAAGGATTTTATGAGATTCTTTTTAAATTCTTCCTTAAATCTTACAACAGAATTAAAAACTAATTACATGATACATAAAATTTGCTGACTGAATCATTCTCTACAACCTCTAAAGTTAGAATGCATATACATTTACTAAAAACATTTCAAATAATGCATTTCTTTCTTATTTTAAAAAATTGTTTTGTTTTTTTTTTTAAGAGAGAGGGTATCACTGTTTCCCTGGCAGGAATGCAGTGGCATGATCATAGCTCACTGCAGCCTCAAACTCCTGGGTTCAAGCAATCCTCCTGCTTCAGCCTCTGGAGTACCTGGGACTACAGGTGCATGTACCACATCCAGCTAATTTAAAAATGTTTTTGTAGGCCAGGCGCGGTGGCTCAAGCCTGTAATCCCAGCACTTTGGGAGGCCGAGGCGGGTGGATCACGAGGTCAAGAGATCGAGACCATCCTGGTCAACATGGTGAAACCCCGTCTCTACTAAAAATACAAAAAAGTAGCTGGGCATGGTGGCGCGTGCCTATAATCCCAGCTACTCAGGAGGCTGAGGCAGGAGAATTGTCTGAACCCAGGAGGCGGAGGTTGCGGTGAGCCGAGATCGCACCATTGCACTCCAGCCTGGGTAACAAGAGCGAAACTCCGTCTCAAAGGAAAAAAAAATGTTTTTGTAGAGACAGGGTCTTACTATGTTGTTCAGGGTGGTCTTGAACTCCTGGGCTCAAATGATCTTCCTGCCTTGGCTTTCCAAGGTGCTAGGATTACAGATGTGAACCACTGTGCCTAACCAAACACGCTTTTTAATAGATTCACTTACAAGTCAAACAATTTCATACATACATGTAACACACAGAGAAACATAAATTAACTAGCACCTACCCTTCTTCGACATTTAAAGAACCACTCCAACCAATGGCAAATTGCATTTCTTCTTTTCCTTTATCACTATATTTCCATTTTGCTAAAAAAATTAAGATATCATATAAAATAATTTTAGCTACAATATACTAAAACAGTAATTTATAAATTTTGCTCTTTCCCCTTAGAATATGATTATAAAATTTAACATTTGTGTATTAACTGACTTGGGTCTTTTTTATAGGTAAATATAAGATAAAAATGTTTATAAGATTTTTTATAACACACCTAGTCTCCTGGCCTTTCGCCTCTCCTCCCAATTCAACCTATATCCTATATAATGTTGTCACAGTTCTTGTAGAATAAAGTTATTAATTCCTATGCTCATCCTGCCTAGTTCAAGACTACTTGTATCTTCAGATGACAGAAAACATTTTTCTACTAGGTCTTTGCTACTGGAGGGTAAATTTGCTTTGTAAGACCATTCTATAAACATTTTTTCCTGACATGTAGATTTGAAATATTTGTCAGGAGCTCAGAAACTAAGTCTCAAAATCAAAACAACTCCTACCCACTGACTTTTGTTTAATCTGTCGAACCTGAGGATGATCACCAGCATATCCAAGAAACTATAAACACTTCTATGCCATACATCATACTAGGTAATGAAAGAACAAAGTTCATCTTCATGTTTGTTCACTGATTTTAAAGTATTACATTTTACATATAATCTTACTTTGATCAGTAAGGTTTGTAGATCTATAAGATATGAAAAACAAGTCAATTTTAATCTTCAACAAAAAATTATAAGTTAAAATGTTATGCCCAAAACACCAGATATCTGTAATATGACAAGTTTTCAAATTAGAGTTGAAAACCACCTCACTCACATTGTTATTGAGAAAAGGTCAACGACTTTGACAGAGGGGAGAGGGAGGGGGAGAGAGAGAGAAGGAAAGAAAAACTGTTATATTCTTTCCACCTAATCCATTTTCTCTTCTATCCAATCCATCAAAATGAAGGTTGCTGAAAATAATAGGATACTCACGCACTAGAAATACAGCTTTTTGCTCTCGAGCTATCACCATAAGATCATTGCTTGGAGATAAGGATAAAACACAGTCTTGGAGCCAGGAAGTTTTTTGTGTTTTCCAAGTATTTCCCTCTTCTTCCTGTATGTAAAACTACAATTACTGCATATGCAAAAATGCCGAGAGTATTCAAACTCAGCTTGCCTGCCTCAAGGGGTGAGGGGAAAGAAAAAAAAGAAGAGGAAATATTTCCAATTCTCATATAGTTTCATAATATTCCTTATCAAAACATGCCAAAGATGACCGACAAAATACCCACTATAAACAAATCTTCAGTTTTGAATATTAATGTAAAATGTCTAAATATAAACGAGCAAGGCATTAAAAGAATGTCACACAGTGGCTGGGCGTGGTGGCTCACACTTGTAATCTCAGCACTTTGGGAGGCTGAGGTGGGCAGATCACCTGAGGTCAGGAGTTTGAGACAAGCGTGGCCAATATGATGAAACCCCGTCTCTACTAAAATCACAAAAATTAGCCAGGTGTGGTGGTGCTCGCCTGTAATCCGAGCTACTTGGGAGGCTGAGGACTCCCTTTGAACCTAGGAGACAGAGGCTGCAGTGAGCTGACAACACGCCACTGTACTCCAGACTGAGCAACAGAGTGAGAATCCATCTTCAAAAAGAAAAAAAAAAAAAAAAAAAAAGTCACATAGGAATCACTCCAGGAATAATTCAGCATTAGGAAATTTCATGAATAATCCTGTTCACAAAGAGATAGCTATGGTATCTGCAGCTAGACAGCAAAGAAAAATATATCTGATGTTTATTATGGTTATAGGATGTATAAAAGCATTTGATATAATGTTATGCTTCTTTCTTTTTATTTGGCCTACAAGGTATTTCCTTGCTTTCATTAGAAGTTTATTTATTGTATAGGTAAATCCCCATGGTTAAAAATTCAACAGCTATAAATGGTGTTCTTTGAAAAGTCTCTTATATTCCTATATTCTAGCTATCTAGTTGTCAACTCTAGAGAAATACAATCAGTTCTTATGTGTATTTCCGGAGATATTTTATGCAAATTTACTACCCCTTTCCTCCCTTTTTCTTACAAAAATGGTAGCATAATATATACATACTTCTATACTTTGCTGTTTTCTCTTAACGTATTCCTAAGACTTCATTCCACATGAAGTTTCTTTATTCTTTTTAATGTCTGCATAGTATTCCATTTTTTGGATGCATTATAATTTATTTAACCAGTCCCCTACATGTGTGGACATTTGTACTGCTCACAATCTTTTGCTGTTATAAACTATATTGCAATAAATAAGTTTATAATTGTGTCAGTTTGTGTGGAAGTGTATCAGTAGGCTAAATTCCCAGAAGCAAAACTGGTGAGTCAAAGGGAATGAGTATTAGTAAATCTGCTGGATATTCCCAAACTGTGCCCCACACATGTTGTATTAATTTGTAATTCCATTAGCAATTTTTGAAAGTGCTTGCTTTTTCACAGACGTTTCAAAAGATGTTTTAATGGTGGATGTGTCAATTTAATAGGTAAAGTGTATCTCAATATACTTTTAAACTACATTTTTCTTATGAATGAGAATTCAGGCATTTTCTCATATACTTAAGAAAATTTCTCATTTTTATATAAAGGAAAGGAACAAACTGCGTAATTTTCTATGACCAGTTTTTTCTGTTCCTTTGTAGATTACCTGTTGGGTTGCTGCTCTCTATCTAATTGATTTGCGTGCACTCTTTACATATAAAAAAAAATTGGCCCTTTGAAAATAAGTGATACAAATAGTTTTTCCTATTTGGGATGGCTCATTTTTTCCATGTAGAACGTTTTTATTGTTATGTAGCTAAATTATCCATCTATTCTCTTATGGCTTCTAGGTCTGATGCCATCCAGACTCCTACATTACTCAGCCCTATCTAACGTCTTTCAGATTGAATTATTCAAAAGGGGAGGGCAAGAGAAGGGAAAGATATGCAGGTTAATTTAATTTTATAAAAAATTATATTTTCATGCATTTAAAAAACTTGTAATAAGCATGCATTTCAAGCATTATGAAATTTAAAAGATTTTAGACACAGAATCTAGTCAGAAATGTTATAGTAGTAGCATCCTTCCAGGAATAATACATTATTTCTCGCTGGGATACCATCAGAGAGATGTTCAAAACACAAATCAAATATGGATCACAGGAAACCTCAGAAATACTCCAAATCACTCTGAAACCTCTGGGACAGTCATGCAATTATTTTTCTTTTGCAGTGGGATATTAGGAAACAAATAGATTTGGAACCTTTTTCTCAAGCAAAATAAACTAATGAGGCTGCACTGTTTCCTAAAAGGAAGGAAGAACATAACATTAGCAAAATCTCATTTTATTAAAACTCTATTTTTCTTAAGGAATTCCGTATCTAGCTTGTTGTTTCTAATATTTGTTTTCTACAGAAAAATTAGAAAATTATCCGCCAAAGATAAAAGTTCTAAGGTAAAACTTAGTTGTGATTCAATTTTTCCCGGGTTCCACAGTTTCTGCTATAGGGTAGTCTCTGTTTACCCAACACATCACCCCTCGTGGTGGCTTTGCTGTAAGCTGAGGACAACACTATGCCGTGGTTTCCTCCAATCACTGAGACTCCAAGTATAACAACTGTGAGGCACAGGACCTTCTAAGCGATTAAAGTTCCATTTTCAGGTAGGAGCCCAGAAGTGGGCATCTTATACAGGAATATTATTTACGCATTGATACTTGATAAGAAATTAAGGGTCTAAAACTCTTTGATTGGTCTCTGACTCTTCTCCTAAAATCTCCATCTCAATGTAATAAAAAAGAATCAACATAATGCTTCAGGAAAGGAATACAGCCCTGATTTGGGCATGTTCTCAAAGAAATTTTTTTTAATAATTGAGCATCTATACAAATAGATTCCTTCCTCTTATCACACTTCCAAAACTATGTTTAAACAGTAAATCCTAAAAATATTATAAAAGTTGCTTTTCTTTTTTTTCCAATAAAGAATGTTGTTCCTATGTTGCCCCATGTTTTCAAAATAATGCCACTAACAAGGATTAGGTCTGATGTTTATGTGCACAGAAAGGACAGAGTCAAAGATGAAAGACATTTCGAGACCAATTGGTCCAAAACCTAATTTTATAATAAAGAAAATGGCGTCTTGCAGAGTTAAGGGATGTGCTCCAGCCATGGGATTAGTGTCAGAGTCCAAACTAAAATCTAGGCTGTAGGGAAAATCTAGCTCTTCGGGAAGCTTATCTTTACTTGAGATTTGACTCTAGAGACATATTCGATGAAAAGCCTTTCCTCCAAAAGAACTACCGTATTGTCACTTTATTACAGGCTAGGCTTTCTGTAGCTCTTTGAGTCGATTTAGAGCTACAAACCGTATTTGAATATGTGAGCCAGAGTATTCTTGAGGCAATTCTTCAAGAACTCCTTTAAATACTGTCCCTCTCCTTTCTATCTTTCCATCAGAAGTTCCAGTTCCTCTGGCAAACACATCCTACCCTGACTCTTAACCTTCTTTCAAACTTACTGCGATTAAAGGTCTTACTATTGCCTGCTACCTGTTTATTCTGTGACTGCATTTCTCCCACACTAGATGAGAAGCCCTCGGGTTGGCAAAGCCTATGGCTTATATTATTTTTCAACTCCACATACAGCACAGTCCACTAATAGAATACATGAGTAAATAACAGCATTCCCTATCTCTTGAATAATGTATCACCTATTCTTACACATGAAACTGTATGACAATGAGCAATCAATCTAAAGCTAGTATATTCAATCCTTCGTAATATTTTTTCATAAGTAATACTAAGATTTAAAAGATTCTGGCTGACAAATCCATGGTAGGTACAAGTTAAAGAAATATATGAACAGAATACCACTGTATCACAGTCTTCTTAGTTGGGCCTAAAAATCACTGTCAAATTATGATCCAGCTCTGCCTGCTGCTACCCCAACAAATGGAGTATACGCGATCCATAAGCAAACATGAATTTTATCCCAAAAGGATGAGCCATGTCAAAAGCATTGGAAATAGACCTCACTTGCTTGGAAGCAAATTCAGAAAAATGATTCCATGATCGTTTATTAGATCCCTACCCCTGCTTAGCCATCTTATACGTGTACATTTTTAGTTACATGAATCCCGAGAATAAAACTTGATGTGGATTAGCACTCTGGGTTTATCCACCGATGACAGGGGAATAAAGAAGCAGAAAGCCAAACTCTTCCATCATTCTTCACTTTCACTTTTCACATTCTTTTCTGTCCTTTCAACATCTCCAACTTCTTTTGTTACTGTGATTCTAAAAACATACCCTCCTAGTTTGCCATAGTAAAGTTGGATGCGTACAACTGAGCCTTACATATTATAAAAATAGGTTCAAAAATACAACAATATTGTTAATATCATCATTAGAGTTCGATGTGCCATAAAATTCTAGATCTAAACTTTTAGCTGTGCTTCTCAAGAATGATGCTAGCTTGTCACAAAATGCAATGGTGTTGTGCTCTTAACAGAAGCTCCACAAGCTCTTTGGGTCCACAACCACACGGGGGAGCAGCTGTACACCTATTGCAACTGCAAGCTCTTGGTCACATGGAATTCTAAAGTAACTTCTTTATGACTAAGGCACAGTATCCAACATACCAGATTCTATATAAGGATAAAAAGCCTCTAATGACAATAACCCAAACCAGATAATATCCTTAAAATTATAAAGAGGAAGAAATGTATTGTTTCCCCATAAGCTTTGCTATAATATTTTGCCCCTAACAAGAGTAAATTTTACCATATTATGAAGCAAATTCAAAACAGAAAACCAAGGGAGGTATGGATGGGAGAAATCTCAGGTAAAATCAAATTTATTTAAATAAATCAAAAATTAACTAAGAAACTGTAGTACTAAGTGCAAGACAATGTAATCAAAGATCCTAGCACTGCTTGTCTGTATGGAACAACAACCTCCCTCCTACACATGTCATAATCCTCCTGAAGCCAACTGACAGATGAAACAATCTTAAACAGAAACAGAAGGAACTATGGAGATCATTTGATCAAAATTCTTCATTTTCCAGAAAAGAAACCAAGTTC